CCTCTGTACCAGGTGGGATGTTCTCAGGTATGGGATTAGACAGAGATTTTACATATATAACTGGAGCATTATCATTAACATCAGTGATTTCAATAATTAAAGAAGCGTATGAGACCAAACCCAAACCGTCTTTAGCAATGATCTGCATTTCATACAAAGATTTCCTTTCAAAGTCAATATCTCCTGCTACTTTAACCTCACCTGTTATGGGATTCAAGACGAAATTTTGATTTTCTTGGGAAACATGGTCGAATTCATAAGTCACATCTCCATGCACTCCTTCATCTGCATCAGTAGCACTAACAATAATCACTATTGTTTCAGGTGGAGAGTTTTCAGGCAGACTGGCTTTATAAACAGCCTGACTGAACACTGGGGCGTTATCATTAGCATCCAGCACAGAGACATGAATAACTACAGTACCTGATCTCTGAGGAGATCCACCGTCTAAAGCTGTGAGGAGCAAACTGATGTCTTTTTGTTTTTCTCGGTCAAGATCGTGTTCTAATAATAGCTGAACGCGTTTGTTGTCCTGTGCCAAAATAAAGTTGTCGTTCTTTTGCAGGATGTATCGCTGCACAGCATTCTGGCCTATATCTGCGTCATGGGCCTCCTCGATAGAGAAGCGGTTACCTCTATCTGCTGACTCGCTTATTTCCATTTCAATCAAATTCTTTTTGAATTTTGGTGAATTATCGTTCACATCTTGCACATGGAAACTTACACGATGAAGCTCTAACGGATTTTCCAACACCAGATCTGCCTTTAAAACACATGACGGTCTCTTAGCACAAAGGCTCTCTCTGTCGATTCTCTCAGATGTCATTAATTCCCCGGTTTTCAGGTTGATGTCACAGTAGCGCTTCTGATTCCCTTCAAAATCCACTCGGGCGTTCCGGGAAGATAAAATCTTCAGATCGAGCCCCAGATCCTTGGCTACATTTCCGATAACAGATCCCCGACTCATCTCCTCGGAGAAAGAATAGCTCAGATCTCCATGAACGAGGTGGATGATCGAGGGAACAAAGCAGAGAATCAGAGACAGCGCTCTGAATCTTTTGTCTTCCATTTTCCGAAATGCATCCATTCCAGCTTCTGCTCAAAATGCAAACCAACAAAACAAATAGTTCCAAAATAGATCAGATCAGCTTATAGCAAAAACGATGATGAAATAACTGGAACGTTTTTCTCTCTCTCTCCAAGCACAATTAGAACCTCCTAAGGTTTTTCAATGTGGTTAATGTCTGCTTCACTTTTATGTTAACCTACAGCGACCCCCTGAGTCACATGTTTCTGTTTGCAGCCGCATAAAAAAAAAATTCAAAACATTCATAATATTTCATTCCAAACAACACACACGTGAGCACAGAGCTGTTAGACATTGATCTAAATTATAAGGAACATTTCTTTTCACATTAAAGAGGTTTGTATTTGCGCAATTTCAAATTTAGAAATGTATCTAAACAAAATATTGAACTTAATACAGTAAGTAACAAAACGCGAGAGTGCATTGCGTATTGTTTAGATCACTTCAGATATACAAAATGAGCAGAATGCAAACTAAAAGCCCAGCACTTCTACCGAGCACATCCATTCAAATACTCACGCAAACTGTACGTACACACGAAAAGAAAAACGTACAGCATGNCGCTTTCTGTAAATATCCCAAAAACCATCTTATTTGTCTCCCCATAATTCCAAAATGAGCTAAACCACTTTTAAAATTCCCCATAATAAAAATAAGAGCGCATAACATAGAGTGTTGTTCCCTTGCTGTTTTAGACTTACATAAAAACTGGATAAAGCAGAAAATGATGGATGGATGGATGGATGGATGGATGGATGGATGGATGGATGGATGGATGGATGGATGGATGGATGGATGGATGGATAAAAAAATTGTTTGTTGCACACTTTGCCTCAATATCAGTTTCTTGTGCTCTATGAGGCAAAAATAAAGTCAATAGTAAATATGCAAACAGCAGGACTTGTACACTTACACAAAAACACCACAAATATCTTGCATAGTTTAATAATGGAATGTGGTACAACATGTTGAAGAATAAATACCAAGTTTAACCCTGCTTTTCAAATAGCTTCAATCAAATTAAAAAGTTATCAGAACAGGATTGTTTACATTGAATTTTATTAGGAAACAATAACTTCACATGAATGTCATACAAGTAATAATGACAAACACATTTTTGTTGACAATATAGAAACATTGTAATAAACTTACCAGATATTTTTTGAAGAATGAGTCAGGGTCTTCACTGAGGTAGATGACAAGACTTCTGAGGATGCATTCCCTCTTAGCATTGATAGATTCCTGGAACAGAGCAACAAATAAAGAAAGAATTAAAACCAATTCTGCTTGTGATAGTAGTGAAGTGAGAAAATTTTTCATGAGGTAATAAAAAAAATTACTAAAAATATTGAACCATGTTGTATGAATTTACATATATTGTTGATGAAAGGCACTTCAAAATGAATTGCATATGTATGAGTGGTGGTGATATAATAAAATATTTAAAACAAAGCTCCAACATAGAAGCAATATACAGAATGATACATGCATGTGTACTGACCGAATCCTTTCTGGCAAAGATGGCCTTGATCTTTTGCCCCTTCACGCCGCCTTTGCTGTCCAAAATCTTTATAAGTTTGTTGGAAAGGAGGTCAAACCGAGAAAGGAACTTTGTTTGTAGAGGTTTAGATGTGATGCGTTGAAACTCAGCATTCACCTGAAAAATATGAAACACATGAAAAAAACATTTGTTAAATATCTGAACAATATCCATTTTGGGGAAAAGATGCTGTAAATACAATTACAAATTTACTTACTTDACTCTCCTGAAATTGGGCTGGCCATCGTTTTTGGATGTCGTTGATAATTGGTCTCTGCTCCACAAGCTGCTTCCAGTCTTGACGTTTTACCTTATTTCCTGGATGATGTGAAATAATAAATGTTCCTTGTAAATTTTATGTTGAAAGTATTGGAGGGTTTGAAATAACTTAGATTAACTGCAATTTGATCAACAAACAATTTTTGACCCAAAAAGCAACATTTTTAATTTAAATAGGTTTTAGCGGACAATGAAATTAAGAAATAGACAATATTTTAAGCTGTAAAGACACATTTAATGGCATTTTCATTCAAAAAATTTGAAAGATTTCGAAAATATTTATGTCCAAAATTAAACAGATCCAAAG